AAAAAAATACATAAACCCTAAACCCTAAACCCTAAACCCTAAACCCTAAACCCTAAACCCTAAACCCTAATTTTTGATATATAGATATATATATATAAAAGGAAAGAAGATAAATACGCACAGAAGAGAAAAAACCTACATATGCTATTTTAAGGGTTTATTATTAGGGTTTCCTAGGGTTTATTAGGATTTTCAAGGGTTTAGGGTTTATTAGGGTTTAGGGTTTACCTTATATGGATAATTTTTACTACCTAAGAATACAAGATGCTCAAGGGTATGAGGAAGTCCTTCTTGTGTATGTGCCTCTGTTTTTATTGTTATATCTAGATAACAAATAGGGGAAGGATTAATACAAGTAAATAAAGTTAATGAGGTGTATATACACCTGAATTCTTTAATACAACAATTCTGTATACTAAAATGTAATATAAGTAACCAACGTTTTGTTTTTTCTTCCTCTTTTTCTTCTTTTTTTTCCCCTTTTTCTTCCTTTTCTTTACATACTGCACATGGATAACTTATTCCTCCTGATCTAAAGGGTTTTGTTGGTAATTTAAATGATTCAGGTAATTTAAATGGTCGTCCTAGTAACCTCATCTTTTCTAGGGTTTAGGGTTTAGGGTTTAGGGTTTAGGGTTTACTAGGGTTTAGGGTTTATTCCTTATATACACCAATACGATGACCAGTTGAATTGGGGGATGTTGTTCCCTAGGGTTCAATAGAGTTTAGGGTTTTCCTGTTAGGGGTTTAGGGTTGGAGGGTCTTTAGTTTAGGGTTTAGCAGTCTAGGGTTTAGGGTTTAGTTAGGGTTTGGCGAGGGGAAGGGGGGCCCCGCCTACGGGAGGGCTCGACCGTAGGCGCCGCCTTCTGTAGAAGAAAAAAGAAAAGAAATAATTAGTGTATAAATTAGGGTTTAGGGTTCAAATATATTCGCATTAATAAAACTCTTCTAGGGTTTACACGGACAAGGGTTTGCGAGCCATTAGTGTTTAGGGTTTAGGGTTTATCGGGGCTGCTGACTGCAGCCGCCATATATGCTGCATGCAGAAGATGCATTATAAATAGGCAGCAATCTGTACAATTGTTTTTCTTCTTTTAAACCCTAAACCCTAAACCCTAATTCAAACCCTAAACCCTAAACCCTAAACCCTAAAGACATATTTCTAAACCCTAAGTCGTAAACCCTAAACCCTCATGACAGACCATCAGCCAAACCCTTCGCTCTCCTCTCCTAATCCCCCTAGTGGGAAACAAACCCCTGCTGCTGCTGCTGCTGCGGCAGCAGCAGCAGCAGCAGACGCTGCAGCAGGTCCAGCAGCACAAAGTTCAGCAGCAACACCAGGAGCAGATCGAGCAGCAGCAGACTCCGGTAAAGCAGCAGCAGCAGCAGGTGCTGCTGCAGCAGCAGAAACAGCAGCAGCAGCAGCAGCAGAAACAGCAGCAGCAGCAGCAGCAGCAGAGGATCCAGATGCTGCAGTAATTGAATTTCATAAGATAGTGCGCAGCAAAGATGTTGCTGCTGCAGCAGCAAAACTTACAAACCCTAAACACTCATGGCTTGTTAATGCTGTTGATGCTCATAGAAGGTAAACCCTAAACCCTAAACCCTAATTAGTAAACCCTAAACCCTAAACACTATATATATGGAGGCAAACTAGTAATATAAAAGTCTGTAAACCCTAACTCTAAACCCTAAACCCTAAACCCTAGATGTGGGGTTTTGTGTTTGTAGGACTGCTTTACATCTCGCGGCTTTTGATGGTATGTCTGCTGCTGCTGCTGCTGCTGCATTTGCTGCTGCTGCTGCATTTGCTGCTGCTGCTCTTGCTGCTGTCCCTCTAGGTGCCTCTGTTGTATTTCCTGTGCCTTGTGGTTCTCCTCTTTCCCGTCCGCCATTGTCTTAGCGTTTATTGTTTAGGATTTAGAATTTTAGGGTTTAGGGTTTAGGGTTTAGGGTTTAGGGTTTAGGGTTTAGGGTTTAGGGTTTAGGGTTTGATGTATAAATAGGTAGTAAAGAAATGGTGCTGCTGCTGCTGCGGCAAGGAGCAGCAATTAAAACCCCAGCAAAGGATAACATGACGGCATTACATTTTGCTGCACAAAAAGGCAATGAAGATATTGTTGAGCTCGTAAACCCTAAACCCTAAACCCTAAACCCTAATTATACCCTAAACCCTAATTAAACAATAGATAAACCCTAAACCCTCTAGAACATAAAGTGTTTATATAATGGTTATATAGTTCTCCTTTTACCTCTCTAGAGAATGACAATAAAACCCTTCCTATCATAAAATATATTAAAATTAGGGTTTAGGGTTTAGGGTTTAGGGTTTAGGGTTTATGTTGTGCAGTTAATATTAAAAGGTGCATCTATAGATGCAAAATTATCACGAGGAGGAAGAACACCTCTGCATTTAGCTTGTAAATCTAAACACTACAAGACTGCAATTAAATTATTAGAATATGGTAAACCCTAAACCCTAAACCCTAAACCCTAGATAAACCCTAGATAAACCCTAGATAAACCCTAAACCCCAAACCCTAGAGATATTATGGGCTTATTTGGTGTAATTACAAACGAGGGTTTAGGGTTTGGGGCCTATGCTTTACGACGATGGTTTACCAATAGCGCATTAGTGCGGGGACTAGGGTTTAGGGTTTAGGGTTTAGGGTTTAGGGTTTGTATGTAGGAGCAAATATAGAGGCAAAGACAACACAAGGAGAAAGTGTCTTAGATTGGGTAAACCCTGATGTTGCTGAGCTACTCAAGACAGCAGCAGCAGCAGCAGTAAATAGGAGACCAAGACCTAAACCAGCAGCAGCAGCAGCAGCAGCAGCAGCAGCAGCAGCAACAGAAGCAACTGCAGCAGCTGAGTCTGCAGCAGCACCAGCAACAGCAGCAGCAGCTGAACCTGCAGCAGCAGCAGCAGCAGCAGCAGCAGCACCAGGAGAAAAGATGAACAGGAAGAGACGGAGGGAGTTGGAAAGAAGCCAGAAGGCGGCCGCAGCAGCAGCTGCTGCTGCACCTGCTGCTGCAGATTCTGCTGCTGCTGCTCCTGCTGCTGATGATGATGGTGCAGCAGCAGCAGCAGCAGCAGCAGCAGCAGCAAAGAAGCCCAAGGTTGTATTAACAGTTGTGCAAGAAGAGGAAGAAGAAAAAGATGCATAAATCGCATAACGTTTGTCTCTTGTCTTTTTTATTTATTTTTATTTATTTTATTTATTTACTTTATTTATTTTATTTATTTATTTAATTTATTTATTTGTTTTGTTTATTTATTTAGTCATTATTAGATGCTTATTGTTTAAGCTACACGGAAGCTAGGGTTTAGGGTTTAGGTTTTATTTTTCAGGGTTCGTAGTAGGGTTTAGGGTTTAGGGTTTAGGGTTTAGCTATGAAGAATAAAACCCTAAAAGCAGATAAATTGGACATTAAATGAATTACTCATATCCTAGTTAAATGTAAACCCTCGGGTGTAAACCCTAAACCCCAGATCTAAACCCTAGACAAGAAGAACCCCCGAAGTCGTATATGAAATAGACCCTAAACCCTAAACCCTAGTTTAGGGTTTACGGTTTATTAGGGTTTGGGGTTTATTTGAAAGAATTAAAAAATGATTTTCTTCTACACTTTATTTAATTTAAAGAATAAAAAGAATAAAATATTTTTGGTTTTTCTTACTTCCTTTTTTCTTCTTTTTTCCTTCTTGTTGATATACTTGCGGTGTACATACACCTCAACCACAACCAAACCATCGGACGGCGGGCAACGGACCGGAGGTAGAAGGGGGCGTATTTAAGCAAATTATCGTCATTTTACGAGTTTATTAATTTATTTTTATTATTTATTTTGTAATTTACTTCAATTTAAACCTTTAAATATTAAAAAAGGGCATTAGTTTCTTCTTCGTTCCCTCCTTTTCTTCTACGCCGCCCGCTGGTCTTCTGTTCGCCTCTCGCTCTTTTGGGGGTTGAGAGGCGGCGTGTATCCTGAGGCATTTAATTGTTTATATTTTTATGTATTTAAATATTTAAATATATTT